AAAAAATAAAATAAAATTAAATTAAATTAAATTTAAAAATGCATTACTGGACCTTGTTTCAAATCATCAAAAGTCCTCCAGATTTTTCATAAAATCCCTAAGAAATTGCCAAGTACTTTTTTCTCTTCTTTTTTTTTTTTATGATTGCAAACTGTTAGATTTAACCAGTAATAGAGAAAACATAAGAGGAATGGACATCTCTGTCCATTACAGAAACTTTTGCTATAGGTTCGCAGACTGAAATACTGAATGACTTGGAGCTTAGTTTCTAAACCAAAATTCTTTCAGTGCTTGTAGACTAAGAAAAGTATGAATTTTGTGATATCAGTTTGATCTAAACAGCTTCTACTGCTTTGATTCAGTGATTTGAAAAATGATGACTTAGAGTTTCAAAAGTGCTGAGAGATGTTATACCCTGGCCCTCTTATGATCAACTGATCTTTGCAGCTCTTAATGGGAAAATAAATCACAGATAAAAGATAATCTTGTTGCACAGAAGCAAAAAAGGTGTGATAGCAATGGAATTTTATAGAACAAGAAAACTCCATGAAAGGGACAAAGTAAATAAGGTAGTTTGTTCTCCTGATGCTCATGGTGGCAAGGTCAAAGCCCTTTTCAGGAGATACCTAGCTCAAGAAATAGGAATGGAACACAAAAGTATATTCAGAGAATTTAAAAAGATACAAAACATGACTTTTTATTATAAACCCATCCTCATCCCCAAAAATCTAGAATTTCAAGGGTCTTTTTTAGATTTTTACTGTTCTGATTTCTTCCTTAATGATAAAGCTGTCAACTCTTCATTTGTTTTCCTTTCATATTCGCCAGTTTTATTTTATTTTTGATGCTGCAGATCATATTAACAGTATAGGAAAAGGAGCCAAATAAAGCTTTGCTATATTCTAATTAATGATTATGCTAATTAAAAATACTTGATATGGCAAGCAGCCTAGAGTGTTTTCTGTGATCTTTAACTTTCTATGTGATACATATCATTTATAGCCTATAAATGTAGGTGTAACACAATGGTAAAGGAAGCAGGAGGAAAGAACCCATTAAGTATTTGGCCTGTATAAGAACTGATTGCATAGTCAATCTCTGCAGTGTAAATAGGCTTTTTTTCAGAACATTTGTTTACATTTATAATTAAATTAAACTTTAACTAAAATAATAAAAAAAAACCTCTATGGGAAAATCATATATATAAATACTGCTTTCCCACTGTTAACTACAGAAAAATGAAGGTACAGGGATTGAGCCAATAATAATTACCGAAAGTGATTGTGGAGAGTGCGTGGAGAGTGCATTATTAAACATAATCCCACTACAGAGCTTCAGAGGACTGCTATATAAGCAGATTGGGAGCACATACTAGTTTTCCTAGTAATATTTATGACTTCATGAAACAGTCAGAAACTGCTGCTGTCCACAACATCCGATTGACAGGGGACATCAGACTCTTGCGGACACTGGGTAGAGACCATTATTACCCTCCCAAAGACACATTATAAACACAATAAATCCCCTTATCCACACATTCCCAAATATTTTTAACAAAAACATGGTGGTTTTTGCAGGTACGCTGTGACTAAGTGAGCTGTTTCCTGCTTGCAGAAAACCCAGCACAGAGAAAGGATGTTATTGAAACAATTGAGACACTGTCTTGTTACCTTAAAACCATTCTTTGTGTCTGTGTTAATTCTTGAATATTCCGATTAAAAAGTACTGGATTATTCTTTGGGGACTGAAATGCTAGACTCTCTCATTTTCCGTCATATTGTGTTATCGACACCACTGAGGACTGCAAAGCGGCGTTAGGCATTACAGGGGTTGAACCTTGGCATTTCTGCATGCATTTGGAAAGGCCTGAGGAAAGACTAAGTACAGGCTAGATATTTTCATAGCTGGGATATTAAAGGACATGTAGGCAGTGCTGAAGTGGATAGTAACACTTTCTATTGAAAATCTATTTCATTATGATATAAAATGCAAAAGTACCTTAGATGTGTCAATAAAGACTAACATAAGAAACAGTAATTATCACAACTGATAAGATAATAACATAGTTCTCCAGGGATACTAGTTTTCATTGAATTTTCTTTTGTCCCTCAACAGCAGATTTCTCTCACATGCCCTAAGTAGCCACTGTCAGAGTGGTTTTCATGTACGACTGACTTCACCTTTATATATTAATATTACAGTGGTATAAGCCAGCAGAAAAAGGTGCCTGGTACCTCTGTGGCACAAAAAGCCAGCTTAGACTTCTGTCTAGCTTTACAGTATCAGCCCATCTGTTTTAGGTGAAAACTTGAGTAACATTAACCTAAAGTACGTTAACCTTTGGATGCCATGAGATATGATAGACAGGACCATTATTTTTATGGTGCATTTTTTCCTGAGCAAATATCCTAGGCAGTGAAGAAGGATAGAAAATCCTGGGTTTGCCCCTCTACCTCCAAACAAAATACAGTGTATGGTCTTTTGAAAAGCAAGGCAGACAACATTAGCTACACATAAATACCCAACAACTGCAAATGTAAGTGAAGCCCAGTAATGAGTCAAAACCATGAGGCTGATTGATAAATGATGATTTACTCAGTTTCACTGAGTTTACTGACATCAATACTGATTCCTCATAAACCACATTTCATCCTCCAGTTTCAGATGAAAAGAAGTCTGATCTAGAGCAGCTGATGATGTGGCAAACACCTATTGCTCCCCTGAAACCTTCCCTAAAGATGTAAATGGAGGCTTGAGGGTGAGAATATTTTAACGTCTCGCATATTTCAATTTAATGAGAACTTTTGAGTCTAAAGTCTTAGTTTATGTACAGTATAAAACTAACTGAAGAAATTATTCTTTAATAGCTATCATGTCCAAGAAACCACGTACAATACACAATATTTAGCAGTTCTGGGAATAGTCTCCAGATAACTTTAAAAGAGTAAATAAAAAGTAGGAGAAAATGCAGTTTAAGATTTGGGATTTTTCTTAATTTCTGTGAAGCTTAATTTTATTTTCTCATGAAATGCCATCATGAGGTTCAATACCATCATTGATATTTGCTGAATTATTAAATCTGGAGATACTTAGTCTTTGCCAAGAGTAGTAAACTATTCAAAGAGACGACTGCATTTGTCATTTATTCTAATTAGCCACTATTACCAGCTTCCACACCTGTAACAGTATCTACTGATCAATGTTAGATTCATTTAGGCCACAAATGTGAAAAATGTTCCTTTGTAAATGTGGAAATATGTTCATTATATATGGAATCTGTGGAAATATGTTCAGGAAATATGTACAGGTTTGTTCTAATTCTTGTTCTTAGGTCCCCAAACTATTAATTGTTCCACTTCTCATTTTCTGGGGTAAAATCTTTGCCCTTTCAAATCAGTGGTAAATTCTCCACTGATTTTGACAGAGCCAGTATTCTACTTTTAGTATTTCCTTTTCATTCTTTTCAGCGTCTTTTTCTCTTTTGCTGGTTTCCTTTGGATCCCTGTTCTACTTTTGGTTTTGTTTAACTTTCAACATGCAATCTGCTATTTTTCCTTTTTTAATCTTTTTTTTTTTGTTGTTGTTTTTGCTCACTTTGATTCTTTGATTTCTACATATGCTTTCCCCCCCCCACCTTATTTCATGTATCCATTTTTTTAAGTTTTTTTTTGTTTATTTGTTTCTCAATTCCTGTTTAACTACTATTTTTCTCTGCTTACTCTGCTTTTACCCCTCTCCTAGCTGACATTTCCCTCTGTGCAATATCTTTCTACCTTCCCTTTCCTCTCTCTTTGAAAACATGGCTCATCATTCTATGCCACTAATGTATAGCAGATTCTGAAATAGTGTCATCTGAGACAGTTAAGTACTAAACAAAACATTACCAGGGTGGAGGAATCACTTACCCTGATTGACAACAAATCGTAACTTCTGTATTGTTGCCAGATTGCCACTAACTCTGTATATTCCATCAACATCTAGACCTGAAAGAGAAACACATATTTCATTTTAGATCATATAAGTATTTTTCTTTGTATGTCTGTCAGGGAGCCAGAAGCGCTCTAACAAGTCTAAAGAAGAGCAATGTAGTGAACGACTGAAAAATAATCCACCTGACAGCAACTGAAGTGCCTCCTGCCTGATTAAAACAATGAAAAATAAAAGTGGTAGATTAAGTTAAGTGAATACAAAACACCTAACTATAATTATCTTGTAATTCTGTCAGCAAAATACAGTTCTGCAAGGGGTTCTGAGTGTGACAGAAAAGGAAGAGTGAATTAGTTCTCATGCTCATGGAGGAGGGCTGTTTGGGATACACATGATGCAACTCCATCCCTGCATAAATGTGGCATGTTTATATTAATCGTGATGGGGAAATTTCTCAGTCTGTGGCCTGGGTTTTCCAGACATGAATTTCTGAGGCTGTGACCTTTCTGAAAATAAAGCAGAGATGCCCACTCTGAAATTATGATTTGCATGGGACTACACACAACTACCATCTCTCTACTATATTCTTCATAGTGGATCAGACAAGTTTGAAGATGAAATTAAATATCCCAAATAGCATATGCCCTGGAGTATATTTGTTCATTAGTATAGGCCATTCTTTTCAAGGACAACCTGACAGTCTTGTTTCTCCCTGCATATCTACTCAAGGTTTATCTGCTAGGTGAAACTAGATGTCATACTCCCTTTTGTGACATATTATCTCCTACAGCAAGTTCTGCTGATATGACTGTTTAAAATAGCACTTCCAGCCCTGCTTGCATAGCTGTAGCATTTTAAAGCACATGGGAACTGCTCTCCTTTTCCAGGAGAATTAGCTGTTGTGCAACAATGACTGAATCTGCATGCTTAAAAACTGAAAACACTGAACTGTGCTTTGTCATTTCACATTTAAGACTTGTAAGTACATAACAAGTACATAAGAGAATCTACACAAAAGGGTTTTTTTTTAGCGCTACTCATCACTTGGGCTACAAGTTTTAGTTAGTTATTTCCAGCAATTTCAGAAAAAGCCTTTCTTTTAGAACATGTTAATTTGTCAAACCCAAAAATTTTCAGGAAATATTTCATGACAATGTATCTAGGGAGATTTTTTTTTTTTTTATGATTTGGGGTGGAGAAAAAGGTAAATCTGAAACTACAGAAAAGAATGAAAAAAATTCTAAAAACCCAGAAACCCTGTTGTAATAACACTTAAATAGGAAGGAACTGAGTTTCAATTCCTTATTTCAAGGATACTTGCATCATGCCTTGACAAACAAATGGCATAGCCAGTGGACTTGGCTGCTTGGAGTTATTCCTCACTTGGAGTATTGTGTCCAGTTCTGGTGTCCTCAACATAAAAAGGACATGGAGCTGTTGCAGAAAGTCCAGAGGAGGGCCACGAGGATGATAAGGGGGCTGGAGCACCTCCCATATGACAACAGGCTGAGAAAGTTGGGGCTGTTCAGCCTGGAGAAGAGAAGGCTGCGTGGAGACCTCATAGCAGCCTTCCAGTATCTGAAGGGGGCCTGTAGGGATGCTGGGGAGGAACTCTTTGTTAGGGACTGTAGTGGTAGGACAAGGGGTAATGGCTTCGAAGTTAAACAGGGGAAGTTTAGATTAGATATAAGGAAGAAGTTCTTCACAGTGAGGGTGGTGAGGCACTGGAGTAGGTTGCCCAAGGAAGTTGTGAATGCTCCAACCCTGGAGGCATTGAAGGCCAGGCTGGACAGAGCCTTGGGCGACATAGTTTAGTGTGAGGTGTCCCTGCTCATGGCAGGAGGGTTGGAACTAGATGATCTTAAGGTCCTTTCCAACCCTAACTATTCTATGATTCTATGTTGAAACATTTTAAAAGATTTAATTTTCTTTTTTGATACAGACTGAAATCAAATATAGCCTTTGGGTTTTTTGCATGTTTGCTTTCCCTCTATAAAAAACAAAGTTCTTATTTTATGTCTATCCTGCTAGGAACACCCTGATCTGGTTTATGTTAAATAATCTATTTTAAAGATGAATAATAATCCCATATTACACACTGTTTATCTATGTCTCTTATTAGACAATTTTTTACCCTACACCTGTCGGTGACCTGCAACATAATACTGAGAATGATGATTCATTTCATGAAGATCCCCTTTGGTTACAGAGGGATAAAGAAAAAGTTTATTTGAAGGAAATCAAAAAGGATTTGGTAATCAGGAAAACCTGGAATTTATCCATCTATGGATATATAACATATGAGCAAATGGAAATTACTAAAATGTTTAAGTAATTAATTCTATCCTAAATCTGAAGAGTCTCATTCTGTTTTAGAAATGAGAGAACGAGAGCACAGGAGTAATTCCCAACATAGGAATGTGGGACTTTCATGGTAAGGGATTAAGAATTGCATCATGTAAATTGAAGTTTAATCCAGAAAGTAAAGAGGAAAAATCAAACAAAAAAAGCCCCAAAACAGAATGTTAGCTTTGTTTGGTTCTAACTCAATTCAGTTATTAAACTTTTTGGATATATGGAAGTGAAAGTAATACAAGTCACTTTTGGTGAAATATCTATGTCTTACATTAATAGCACTTATTTGGAACCTACATGAATTATCCAGATCAGGTGAAAAGAACAAATTGGTAGATGCTACATCTTGCAAAATGATCTGGATAATACAAGTTCATTATTATTGTTGTAAATTTCCTTTGATCCAGAGATGAGGTCTGATTAGCATTTCATTTGGATACTCTGCAATATGGCAGAGAAGGAAAAAAAAAATAATCCAAGAATATGAAGCCAATTATAGTGTTCACGTGCCATCAACTAACTTCTCCAAGAACTTTGAAAGTTAAGCCAAAGCAAACCAATGCAAATTGGTGGATTTGGACATCCTTTTCATGACTACATTATCTTAGCTGGATTGTTAACAACTTATTTTGGAAATCCAATTTGGTGCAAAAGAGAAAGAGAGACAAAGAGAGAGAAATCTGTCTTTATAGTTCTAATATCATGATTCTATGAACAATTTTCAAAGGAAATTCACTTTTAAGGACACCTCTATCGATCAAGAACGAAAACATCGCTGCATTACTGTCACTGTTTCGTCATGGCAGGCTATAAACACTGAGGGAACAAGATGAAACAAAAGCCTTACAGAGTTTCCTATCTGATGCTGGCATTAAAGTATAGTGGTAAAGAACATTTCAGAAAAAATATTAATTGTGATAAAGTCCAACCACTGTTCAGTAGAGGCTGAGTTTCTTGTGTTTTGGAGTGTGGTTTATCAAGAAAGAATCACTGGATTTTGCCCTTGAGGAAAACAAGGATTTTATTTGCTTTATATCACAATTTCCAGCTGTGTTCCTGGTTTGTTTGTTTTTTTTTTTTTTTTTTTTTAATGAGGAACCTGAGAACAGGATGGACCCGCAATTAGAAATGACAGCCAAAAGCATGATATTGACTTCAGTATCTCTACCCTAACTTTTGTAACGATATAAAAAAAATGTAGGAAAAGGGCTTACTGAAGAATGCATCAGATTAGCTGACAAATTATAAGCAAATTTTAACCATTTTTATTTAAAAAGTTATGCAGGTACTCCTGATGGGAAAGTTAAAAGGCAACTGAACTCAGGCTTAATTGAGAATCATGAACAATAATGAAATTATATTCGCTCTCTGTAACTGCACAGAATATGTTAGAACACCTATTTAAGAACATTTCTTGCACTTTTGCTTCTAGCCAAAATGGAAATTATCATGAATGCATGTCAGTATCAGCTCCAGTAGCAATTTGAGATGGAACCTGCTATTTCAGAAAAACATTGAAAACACAAGAAAAAAACTGGAGCATAGATGATACATTTATCTAAACCTATGTTTTAAAATATTAGATTTTTGTATTGGTTGAGGTACTCCTGATGCTTTATGAACTGCCTTGAATTAAATTTTCTCATTAATTCTTTTCTGTTGTATAAAAAAAATCCCTCTCCCAAATCACATTGCATTCTGCCTAAACTTAATCTATATTTGACTATCTTCAAACTTAATACGAAAGGAAATTCTCCATATGTGTGTGTGTGGGGGGGTGTGGGGTGGTGGTATGCAGGAATTTCTCTCTCTGTTTAGCAAGATTTAGAATTCGAAACATACCATTGTAAATGGTACTAGGTAACTTTCTGCATGGAAACCCATGAAACTTTCACAATTAATGTATTCTGAAATAGGTGGGGTCCCCAGGCCTGGTAGAGTTTAGTAAAAGAAACCATCATGCTGGATTCAACAACAAAGTGAAGTGCAAACTTGAAGAAAGGCATTCTTTAGCTAGTCTTTTCATTTAAAATCAGTTATGTACAGGACAAAACTATTGTGTTTCAAAGAAGCCTATTATGCTTTCCCATAAACAGAAAGATCATACGTTTTAGAACTAAAGTATCATTATGTAATCAAGCTGTTGTATTATAAACTATTTTGTGGGCTCAGATGCCCAGGGCTATCTTTACAAATATTTAAGAGGTCATTATCAGGATATGTTCTCCCTAAACTATAATTTTTTCCTTGTGTTTTCATATACATCTTACCATAAATCATTGATTTATAAACAATTTTTTTTAAAGTTTACTACGGGCACACACGTGAGGCATGAAGTCATTTAAAGAAGCAGAAATACCTGAATGCAGCAAATACACCAATGTCAAGATAATACGTCTGATGAGAACAACACCAAAACCAATGTGTAACAAAAATAAAGCTTCACAAAAGGATCAATATTTTTATGCCAGTAGAAAGAAAATCATGAAGAATAACAAAGAATAAACCTGACACATTTAAATTTGGCATTAAAAATACTGTATCTGGATAAGGTTAAAAAGGTACCCCAAGTTTCAGGTGAACGCAGGAGCAGAAAAAAATGTGTTTGTTTGATGCCATGGAAATCAGAGGTAAAAATGATGAAAGCAATGAAACAAGTTTGAGTTACACCACAGAGGAAAAATTAACATGGGGGCATTAA